GCAGGGATGGGCTTGTCCTTGCAGGTGCGGGAGCTGGAAGGGGAGGTTGATGCTGAGCAGAAGCGCAGCGCTGAAGCCGTGAAGGGCGTGCGCAAGTACGAGCGCAGAGTGAAGGAACTGACCTACCAGGTAAGGCAGGAGGGCTCCTGCTCTGACAGGGCTTGCTCACAGTCAGTCACATTTTGCACACACCATCCCCAAGGGGAATTGTTGACCTTGTGTGATGGAGGATCAAGAATTGACTCTCTATCCTGTTTACCAACTACTCTAGTCTGAGGAAGACAGGAAGAATGTCCTCAGGCTGCAGGATCTGGTGGACAAGCTGCAAATGAAAGTGAAATCCTACAAGAGACAATCTGAGGAGGCTGTAAGTATCTCTCTGAGTGCTTGGCAAGAAGCACATTCCCAGAGGGTAGTTTGGCCATTCAGGAGACAAATATAAGAAATTTAGAAGATCCCACTCATGAATAAATATAATTCTTCTAATTCTCTGAAAGGCTCATAAATCAGACTTGCCTTTCAAAATGAATACAATGAGCCCCTAAGAAGACTACTGAGGAGAGGAAAAGCACACAGCATTTTTTGCATTAGAACCACAAAGCAAGCTGTAAGGAGTCTTATGATTGATATTGGTAGTACAATGTATTAAGAAATTTTGAAAAAACTTATTTGTAGAGTTTTGGTTGCAGACAGGGAAGGAATTGGAAGTCCCCTCCCATACTACTTTGTGTTATGCTTTCATAATTGTAAAAAGAACATTTGCCTTTATCTAGGCATGCAGCTGTCAGGGATGCCCTGAGGCAAGTCCTACAGTTCCTGAATTTAAGATTGTCTGAGCATGACTTCTCCAATTTGGAAACAGTCCAGCACAGAGTAGGGCTTCTGGTTCAGTTAAGGCAATTTATGAGAAGAGCCCTCTTGTAATCATTGTCTCTCATAAATTCCTAATCCCACTTAAGGGTCTGCAGATGTAATTGAACATTTGATTCTAGAGCTAAAAAAATCACATTTCCAGCTGCCCATTTTGCTTCCTTCCTACATTCCAAAGCAGAATAATGTTCAAATCCCATTATGCTTCTTCTACAATGGATCTTCCTCAAAGGATGACGAGCTACATAGGAGGGTGACGTATGAACAGTGGTAGAAATGGGATGGAGACTTGTGCCTTCCCCCTAGGGAAAAGCTGCAGCTCAACAAAGCCAAGGTGCAAGAGGAACGAAACCCCTGTCCTGTGCTGACCCCTGACTCCCTTTCCCCTCACAGGAGGAGCTGTCCAATGTCAACCTGTCCAAGTTCCGCAAGATCCAGCACGAGCTGGAGGAAGCCGAGGAGCGGGCTGACATTGCAGAGTCACAGGTCAACAAGCTCCGAGCCAAGAGCAGGGAGTTCCATAGGAGGATAGAAGAGGAAGAGTGAGAATGTCAAAAGGCAGCAAAGTGACCTGAGGGGCTGCACAAAATGTGAACCTCTCAGTCACTTTCCTTCTGCCATGCGTCTTTGTACCCACCTCAGTGTCTAGTGAATAAAGACTGTAGTAGATTCCTCTGCATGCACACTGTGGCCAGTGCCTTCTTTGGGTTTTGTTTTCCTTGGGCAATTGCATTGCAGAAGAAGTTTTCGTACTTTTCCTCTCTGGGACAAGGGAGAAGCTGGTGCCAGTGCTGGATTCAGGATCCACAAAGTCAGAGCCTGGAGAGACTCTTGAAAATCCAGCCTGTGCTCTCTCCTGTCTCCAGCAGCTCCTTGTCCAGCTCCTGCCTTCACATCCTCCTAATGCTCCTCCCATTGTCCTTTCAGCACAGCTTCTTTCCCCTGGGAGAGTCAAGAGATGCTGATCCTTTTCCTTTTTCCTTTTCCTACTCTTGTTTGTGATCCTGGCCCTCACAAACACTAAACATCAATTTCTGGGTGAGTCATCAGAATTTGCAATGCACGGCGTTGTGAAGGACTGGCAGTTCTTTGACAGAGACGATTTCAGTCACAAAGAGTTACAAAAGTTACAAGACACCAACAGTGTGCCATCTCCCTCACCCTAGATTTCTTGAGCTGCTGCCAGTTTCTCTTGAGTGGGCAAACAGTTGAGCCTGCCTGGGGCCAGGTGCTGGAAGGACTCAGAGGACTCTCCCTTAGTGCCCAGCTCTCGCACACCACCTGGGTCCAACACTCAACTTCACGTCATCAACAGGGAGAACACTCAGCTTTGGAGGATTTTCCCAGAAACCTCAAAGGCTGTGGGGCTCTGTCCATACACTAAATCAAACAGTTCAGTGGTAGCTAAGGGCTATGAACCTAATTTGGAAATCCTTTCAGCAATATCAGTTCATGAAATTGCACTGTTGCAGCTCTGTCCCTTTCTGAAGCTGCCTCAGCCAGTCACCTCATCGCCATGCTGCAGAAGTCCTTGACAAAGTGAGGAGTCAATGAGCCCTAATGTCACATTAGACACCTAGAAAGTTTCTTTGATGACTTGTCCAAAAGCACTGTCCCAAACACAAATGGGAAGTGACTGGCAAATCACTGAAGAAGCAACTCTCTCATTGTGGGTGTGACTGCATCTATTCTGACCTACTATAGCCTTCTTTAAACTTCTTTAAAAAGTCAGGCTCGTCTTCCACCAGCTTTCTGCCTGTTTCTCTTCCACACACTCTCTGGTATCTCTCTCACTGTCATGGGTGTGGTTGAGAATAAAGCAGGCAGCCCCATGCCCTGAGCTCAGGGACAGGTGCACAGCCTCAGGCAGGACCTGCCCTGGGCACAGCTGGGGGCACTGCTGATGGCCCTGAGGGCTGGCCCTGCCCCCAGCAAACTCACAGCTCCCTCTGGCCTCTCCTGTGCTCCAAGACCACACCAAACTGCCCCTCAGCCTTCACAAGAGCCATTGCTAGAGGAGGGGACAAGGCTGAAAGGAGCTTTGGAGGAGGCCCCTACCAGGAGGATCAGCCCATCCCGTGTCTCCTTTCATCCTCAATGTCAAAAGCCCAAAATAGCCCTGCTCTCCTAAGACTCCTGTGCGGGGTCGTGCCTGTTTGTGGGGATGATTTTCTTCCACGAATAGCGCCTGAAGACATTCCTGGGCGGGTAGGCTGCCTTCTATGTGGCACTGCAACGTGCTGCCGTGGAGGAGCTGGACACGTGTGCTGTGTCCCAAGGCAGCAGCTGCTATTCTTACCCCAGAGAGACTCGCTGCAGCACAGCTCCATTGCCAGCTGAAAGGTTAAACATCAGAATGGGGCCCGAGTGTGCTTTCCCTGCTCAGAGCCTGAATCCAGTGTTCTCCTCTGGAGCCTGTGCAAGGGCCCTGCACCAGCTCAGCTCCATGGCCATTCCTTGCTGGGATGTGCTGTCCATGGGCAGCACAGCAGCTGCCCAGGTACTTCCAGCACTGAGTTGGGGCTCCTTGGGGTGGATGGGGCTTTGCCTCTCTCATTTTAACCAGCAAATGGAAAAGACAGGCTGAGCTGCAGCTCTGGAAGTGCAGCATTTTGCAGCTGCCATCCTGGAGTCCCTGTCTGGGCGAGGATGGAGGCAGAGGCAGGGTTTGCTCCGAGGTCCAGCAGCGCTGCAGGGCCCATCCATGTCCCATTGCTCAAACTGTGCTTTCCCAGCACTCATTCAGGGAAGGCTGTAGGGTCAGAGGTCCCTCAAGAGCCCCGGGAGTATCAGGGCTGCAGGAGAAGCCCTGGCCGGGCTGGTGGCTCTGACATGATGGTTATGGAGGCTTAGCCCTGCCTGCACCCTGACTCCCCTGGCCCTCTGGAGAGCTCAGGAAAGCCGTGTCCCAGCCGGGTACAGTCACTGTGGGTGATCAGGCAGAGGACAATGAGCCCAGGACATCAGCTGGGATGGTGGCTGTGCCTTTCCCCTCAGGCCTTGGCTGTTGCTCTGACAGCACAGGCCGCATCAGCTTTCTCTTCAGCTTGGGCCTTGTCACCTGGCACTGAAGGACAGATAAGTTCCTTCAGGGATCCTTGGCAGGAAGCCGACAGCATTATTCCTGCTGAGGGGAGCAGGGGGTGCCGGTCCCACGGCCCCACCAGGCTCGTGTCAGTCACAGGGAGCTCCCGGGGCAGCAGCTGAGCAGGCCCTCTGCTCCAGGCACCCAGTGCCAGGGGATGGCAGCCTGGAGCCATCGAGGGCCCAGCTCTGGGCTCCCTCCACTGCACACCAGCAATGAGATCTCACTGAAAACTGGGTGCTTTAAACTTGTTGAAACTGCCTGGCCTACCTGTTAGGTGCAAATCACAGCAGAGGGGTTAAAATCCAGCCAGGTGGGTCAGCCAGTTTCATGTGCTCCCCACTGGGACACAACTAAGAACAGGTGGGATGGGCCAAAGAACACCTGGAAATGTTTGGGTCATCAATGCTGGAAGAAAAGATCCTGGGCTGACAGAAGCAGCCACTGCTCAGTGCACAGGGCCTCATCTACACTGGGCTCTCTGCCCAGATAGGGAACCAGAGGTGCTTGGGAGTGTGTGATTATCAAAAGGACAAGACACAGTGTCAGTGGCCCTGCCACCTCCACTGCACACCCTGTGGAGCAGCCTGAGGAGAGCAACTGCAACAGTTCTCTTGGTAAGTGTGGTCTTCATAGCACAGACACCAGGAGAGGCCTGGGGCTCTGAACATCTGAACACCCTCACTCCTCCTAGGATGAGGTCCAGCTACCACACATAGGGACTTCTTGGATTCTTAGGCCAGCAAGAGTGACAGAAAAATCTCTTGGCAGCCTAAAATGCAGACAAGTAATTCCCATGGTCTACCTGTACAGAACCTCGAAATATACAATTAATCAAGATATTCTTCCCTGTAAAGCAGATTTGAACATGGCACTGTGAATCCAAGGAAAGCCCACCTGACCTTCACTGTTCAATAAAAAAGAACATGTAGCAGAGCTACATTGGAAAGAAGAAATCCTACTCCTCATCTTCTTTGTCTTCCTCTCCTTACCTGATGTTTCCTTCTGCAGAGGGGACATATTCCCCTGGGACATGTCAGCAGGACCGGCTTCCCAGGAGACAGGGCTGCTGGGAGAGATAGGGTCAGTTTCTAGCACATACTGCAAACCCAGGCCTTCTCTGCCTCAGCAGAGCAGCATGATAGAGAACAGTGGGGCAGAACAGCAAGTGTTAAGGACCTAGCACCTGGACTGCAATGGATTTTCTGTGTAAAGGATGGAAATCCGGCGAGGTGAATGCCTGTCTGAGGTACGAGCACATTCAATGGGCCCCTAGATCATACCTGTAATGTAAATCAAACTGTGGGGCAACAGGGATTTTACTTCAATAGCATTTTCCTGTTTCGCACTAAGTGTTCATGAGGACATGCTCAAAGATTCCCCATGCAATCACTGTTGATTCCACCACAGCAGTGTGCAGAAACCAGATGAGGAAGGGCATGGGAGACACCCACCCCCAAAGATGCTGTTTCTGTCCCAAAGGGGATGGTTCCATCTGGGAGTCTCTGTGCAGCTGAGCCTGCAGGCACAGAAGTGCCCTCCAGTCACCTCCTTCCTCTTGCTGACAGGAATGAGGATTTTCTTCTTCTTCTGCCCTGGCATGTGGCAGTGAGTTGCCTATAGCTGCAGGAGAGAGGGGATTTGGAAGGACAAGAACAGGTAGTTGGGGTATTTAGGTGAGCTGTGCTTCATATCCTTGGTTTGGCAGATCCCTTGTCCAAGGTGGAATCCGTGGCCAGAATGTGACTTTTCCATCATGACAGAGCTACTGAGATGGACACAGGCTGTCCCAGCATGAGTCTGCCAGAGACCTGGGTATTTAGGGGGAAAAGACTCTGGCCTAAAATACCCAGAGTTAAATGACAGGTAAAGAGTACATGAGCATCCTATGCTGTGATTTCTACAGCCTTTTAAAGCAGGGGTATTGAGTGCCACACTTGAAAACCACACCACGTATCTACCACAGGAACTGCCCTTTTCACCACACTGTGACTATCACAACTACCTGCCCTGATTACCTCACATGGTTGTCTCATTGCAGACTTTGTGAAGGTCCTGAGAGAGATTTTGGGACAGGGACATCCAAGCATTTTGGCAGGGTGAAATGGCATCAGAATTAAAAGTAACTCTGAGAAACTGGAGAATTTGTCTCAAATTTTCAGAAGTAAGTACAATAAAGACAAATAAAGTACTTTTTTGAAGATCAGTCAAGAAGGTTTATGGCTCTTGAATTAAGAAGAGAAGGAAGTGGAGGTTATAACCCATCAAAAGTTAACATTTTCGGGGGGAGGATATTTTGATTATTTTGATATTTCTGAAGGTTTCTAGGAAATTCTTTTGTTTATATTTGTGTTGGTATGTTATTGTTGCAGACCCAGAATGTTTCTGTAATAGGAAAGAATTCACTAGGTTGAGTTGGTAAATAGTGAATAAGAAAAACAGCATTTTTATTTTGGAGAAT